GCACTCCAGCCTGGGCGACAGAGAGAGGCTCCGTCCCCTCCCCCGCCCCCAAAAAAGGGCTGTAATATCCAAAGCAGCCTACAGATTCAATGCAATCCCTAATAAAGTACCAATGACCTTCTTCACAGGAATAGGAAAAAAATCCTAAAATCTGTACGGAACCACAAAAGACTCCAAAACGCAAAAGCAACCCTGAACAAAAATAAAGCTGGCAGAATCACACTCCTAAATTTCAAAATATACTACACAGTTGTAGTAACCAAAACAGCATGGTACTGGCATAAAAACAGCAACACAGACCAATGGAACAGAATAGATAACCCAGAAATTAATTCACATATCTATAGCCAATCGATTTTTGAAAAAAAAATAAAATGCCAATAACATTCATTGGGGAAATGCCAAGAACATTCATTGATATTACTGAGAAAAAATATCAGTATTTACATTCCAATAGTAAGAATATAGTTTGTCACACATTTCTTTATAAATGGAGGGGGGAAGAAGACCAGAATTCATTAGTTTCTTGACAAACCTGACTCCTCCAAATTAATAAAGCACCATCTGCATCATAATACCTTATTCATCTCTCTTGCAAAATCAGTCTTTCTTCCAAAAACTAAAACTGATTTCTGCCTACAAAATGTCATTTTAAGAAAACAAGAACAGGAAAGGCCTGGAGGCTCACGCCTGTAATCCCAGCACTTTGAGAGGCAGCGGCGGGAGGATCTTTGAACCCAGGAGTTTGAGACCAGCCTGGGCAACAAGGCAAGACCTCCTCTCTACAAAAATAATTAGCCGGGCATAGTGACATGGGCCTGTGGTCCCAGTTACTTGGGAGGCTGAGGACCACCTGACCCTGGGAAGTCGAGGCTGCAGTGAGCCATAATCGCACCACTGCACTTCAGCCTGGGTGACACAGCAAGAACCTGTCTCAAAAAAAACAAAAGAAGAACATATGAGATAATAAATGATCTGAGGAAATTAGTATTTTATTATTTAATACTTTTAACGTTTAAATGCATATACATTAAAATGACCAAGAATTTTTTTAAAAACACACTTAAGTATTTCATAATTAGAGATGGCAAAAAACTTTTAAGCCATCTGATAAGAGAGCTTCCCTTACGTTTTATAAGACCATTGCTGTATTTTGGTACATTTGACTTCGGTACACTTAAACTTCACTTTCAGGAAGACAGAGAGGTAAGTACCTACCCTCACTATACAATGTTTAACTATGTCCTCAACAGTGTGTCTACACCAGCTGGCTGTAATTTGCATAAGGGCAAAACCTCGTCTTAGTTTCATCTTTTCCCCTCCCCCACCCCCCCAAAAAATCTCATATAGTGCTTGATATAAGCATGTTAAAGCAACTCTTACCTGATTTTACACCTATTTTTTTTTTGGGGGGGGGGGGATCTTTTTTTTCCTTTTTTTTTTGGAGAACGGGGTCTTGCTATATTGCCCAGGCAGGTCTCAAACTCCTGGGCTCAAGCCATCCTCCCACCTCTGCCTCCCTGAGAGCTGGGATTACAGGCATGAGCCACCAAGCTCAGCCACTACTTACCTGCTTTTAACAGACGCCTGTTATATAATCAAGTCAAGAAAATTATTAAGTTGCAAGGACTTGAGCTAATCCACCCTTCCTTTTATAGAAAAGGAAACTGACATGTAGAGAAACAAAGTGATTGTCAATGGTATAGTCAAGACTAAAACCTCAGGTCACCTATATTGTTTTCATTACAGTAATACTGGGTTTCCTTCCCATAACTTTTGTAGAATACATATACTGGGTGTTCTAAATAATTCTCTATTCCCTAGTAAGTTGCTATGATAACTAATATCAAAAAAGGTGAAGTCAAAAAGGCAGGAAATACCAATTTTCTCAGAGAAGGGAGATAAACATATTCTAAAAGAGAATGCCCAAGCATTGCTTACACTTTCTTCCACCATCCCCATTAAGCTTTCAAAGGCAATGCCCCCTTTTCTTCCCTTTCTTCTAAACTATTAGGCTATAGATTTCCCACGTTTAACAAAAATAATCCAAGAAGCAGGTGACTCCTGAAATACTGAAATTCTTGAGGGCCACATCTACCAGAGAACTGCTAGCTTTAAGTTTTGGGAGGGAGCACTGGCGGGAAGGGAGACTTCAAAGGTGTTGCTATACTGATTACTCCTTGCTCTTCAGTCATCACCACACTGCTCTGGGCTTCTGAGACCCTTCTTTCTACTCTTCCCTCCTAAACCATTTTACTGTGCTGTTTGAAACCCCCTTCCACTGTGAACCAGCTCCTCTAATCCTCAGCTTCTTTACTGAACATTCCTGCCTTTACCTCATCTTCACTAAAACCTGGCTCTTCCTTGAGGATACTGCTTTCCCTGTGCAACTTGCTAAATGAAGGCTCAATCGTTCTCTCATACTCTACACACCTAAGGGAGGCGGGGGGAGGTCAGTACCCACTGCTCACCAAACTTTATTTCAGAGGCCTTGGGCAAAAGTCTTGGCTATTCCACTATGTCATTCTCTATCCTTCCTCATTTCTTCTATCTACTATCCTCCAGTTACCTCACTGCCCTTTACCACAGACTCTTACCCCAGTCTTCCTCTCCACCCCTAGTCCTGCCATCATCCTGGGTGACTTCAATGTTAGGTGCAATGTGCAATCCAGTATCACCACCTCATAGTTTACTTGACCTCACCTCTAGCAATCCTAATCTGACTACACAGTAGGCCTTTGCCTCATGGCCTATCACTGGCCATTATAATCAACCTGAACTGCTATTTCTCTGAAATTCTAAATTCAACATCCAACACACACACACACACACACACACACACACACACACACACACACCCTGCTATCCCGCGCATTCATTCTTTCTCTCTCTCCCCTACTCTGACCACAATCTCCTATCATTCTGGCATGTATTTATTCCTACTACTCTTGGTTCCTTAAACCTAATTTGGGCCTTGAGTTCACTGACCATCTACTCTCCTCCTACCTCTCCTACCTTTTTCTATTCACATCCTTCAACTTAGATGCCACAGTCCATCACTTCAAATTACTCTCTCGCTATCAGCCTCGACTTTCTTGACTTACTGTCCTTCCATAGGGCCCACCTACCAAAACACATCCTTGAATCACTACAACCATTTGCCTTCTCTGAATCCATACCTAGGTTGTTTGGCACAGTCAAAGAAAAGTCACCCTACCATTTAGACCACCTTTCGACCTTGATTAGGCTCCTAATACAATGCCTTTGGTTTCCCTAGTCAGAGGTATTGCAGACCCCTTCCACCCAATCATGACCTAGTTCATTCCTAGCAAATGAACTAACATACTGCTTTAAAGAATAAACATAAACCAGCAAATAATTCCCTCAACTTTCAGCCACAAAACCCTAACAGTATGAATACCCACACTTTCCTTTCCACTCACTACAATCAAAGCTGTATCCTTCCTTCTAATGCTACTTCTTCCACCTGAACCAGGGAGCACATTCCCTATCCCCTTCTGACTTTCTGCCAGCACCTGTAATCAGATTTTCCCCTTCTCATCTTAAGAGAAAAAAAAAAAAAAGAAGGCCCTTCCTCCACTACATACTCTCCTTCCTGCTTGCTAATATTTTAATTTTTCTCCAGTAAAACACTCAAACTTCTTAAGAGTAATCAACATTTACTATTGATTTGCTCAAATCTCATTCACTTCTCAATCCTAGCTATGCCCAAGCACACTACACCATTTGCCGCTGTCATGCCAACACCTTCCCTCCTTTTTGACCAACTTGCAATCCTTAACTGACCTCTCTAGTATTTGATAATTTTGACCTTCCACCTTCAAGTAGTCCTCTTCTCTTGATTCTCCCCAGTTGATATCTGGGGCTTTAATTTCTATCTCTAAGCCCACGACAGACACATACAGCCAAGATCTCTCTCAAGAGCTGCATATGTATAATATCCATAACTTACTGGATATCTTAAAGGTATGTACATCAATACCAACATATTCAAAACCGAATTTGTATCTTCCTTCTTAAATCTACTTTAATCTCTCATGTTCCCTATCTCAGTTTCTCATACTGCCATCCATACATGTGCACATGCCAAGAATGAAATCCAGGGTTCCTGGGGTCATCTTTACTTCTTCCCCTCATCCTTTACGTCCTTATCCATCAAACACCAAGTCCTATGTCTCTGTGCTCATCCCACTGCCTCAATGTTCATAATCTCCTCTTTCTTAGATTACAGCAACTGGTCTACCACTGTTCCAATGGTGATGAGCTGGACTGTACTGCTGAAGCACCAGCACTTACATACATAAGCATGTTCAGTAAATTTATCCTAATCACTATTTTAGAGAAAACGTAGCCAAATCAGAATACTAATAAAGAGCACATATGCAAATCACCTTATGCAAATCAGGTATGTGTAAAATGGATAGTCAAAAGAAAAAAGGAGAATCGGTACTTTTCAAAAAAATTCATAATAGCATAACTCAATTTATACTTTTCAACAAAAAGTCTACACTCAATATGCCTAACTTTATACCTACCACTGGAAAAGTACTATACTATATTGAAATATTTAAAACATGCTGCAGAAATGTTCTTTAAAAATTAAATATGATAATTTCTGGGATAACAAAAACACATCTGAAAATATTTTAATATCTCTTGCTCTTCACGTTATCAAGAAAAACAAGTGAAAAAAATAAATAAATAGGTATTAAAGTCAATTCTTATAAACAAAAATATTTTCTATTAATAGTTCCATAGTGCATTATAAAAGTGTAACTGTGTGGAAAAGTTAAGGGTGAATGCTGAGTGCAAGAGAGTTAGAAAAACCACTAAAACCTTTAAGTGAGAAAGTGGAGAAGACTTCTTATCAATGTGACATATTAGACACTATAAACATAACATAAAACACAAAATGTAGTGGAATGTTCCCTAAGTCAAAAAGTGGTATGAAAGCACAAAATGCATATAGATTGGATTACCTGAAGTTTTACTCAGCTCTGCTGAAAATATAGCAGATGGTGATCTGTCCTCCTTTTCTGTATCAGAAGGAAGATTTTTCTCAGCTTCTTTCACAAGAACTTTGGGTTTAACTATGCCGCCTATCTCTGCTTGAGTGGTCAAAGCAGAAACATCTGGAGGCAGTAAGAGCACCTTTGATGTAGCAGACCCATTTTTGGAAAAGTCATCTGAGAAACTGATTTTCTCTTCAACTTTGGGTTGTACGTTCTTCAAAGAAAGGTCATGGGGCAATTCTGTGCAAGGCAATGACCCAGCTCCACCCGGGGCATTAGCAATTTCACTTTTGTGGGATACTTCTAGGTCAGTATATTCCCTGGCTAATTTAGAAAATGAATCAGTTTTAGAACTGATCAATGTAGGGAACTCATCTATAATTTCAATTGGAGATGAATCTGAAAATGTTTCAGTTTCTCTTACTTGTGCTTCCTTAGAAAGAAATAAGTCATCATCTGAATAAACTGCAGTACTGAGCTCCTCCATCTGCAAAGGAATTTTCTCCTTTTTGCTCAATGTTGAAACTTCATCAGGTAACAGGGTATCTTTTGTGTTATCTAAATTGAGCTTAAAAGATTCCAAATATGGCTTTCCTCCCTCAGGTGGTAAAGCACTAAGTTTTTCCTTATTTTCATGTTCTATCATTGACTCAAATGAAGTTTCAGGGAGATTTTCTTTCACAAGCATCACAGCTTCATCTTGTTTTTGTGGAACGTCAGGTATGGAATCATCACTAAATAAGTCAACTGGTTCAGAATCAGGTGAGGAATCTTCAACTAGCTCAGAATGATCAGGCACTGGCTGTTCAACTTTTGCCATTTCTGAATAATCAGAGAAATCTGGAGTTGGTTCAGCAGAAAGCTTTGTTTCTTTAATTAAATCACATGCAATAGATATATAAGGAGCTTCTGTTTCTTGAACAGCTGCATTAATGCTTTCAGGCTCTTTAATTTCTTCCTTTATTCCTGGTACTTTTTTTAGTGATACACTCATGGCCTCTTCGTATGGTGGGGGGTTTTCAGGCTCATGTATTACACTTTCATAATTAACTGAACAAGCTTCTAATGGTGATGAGCTGGGCTGTACCGCCGAAGCACCAGCACTAGGAACTGCAGAATTCAATGGTGCTTCCATAACAATGTCAGGCAAAACTGGTGAAGGAGTAGCTTCTGATTCTTCAAATGATGGGCAAAGCTGTGCTGCAGGATAGAGGGACTCTTGCATAACTTCTGATGTTTGAACCAAGTCCATTTTTGTTTCATAAGCAATCTTTGTACCAGTAACTTCGTTCAATTCACTTTCACATGCTTCCTGTACTAAATCTGGAGTCAGGCCTTCAGGCATGTTTGCCACTACTTCCTCAGTCACCTTTCCTAAATTATCTGTTGTGACATAATCTGTCTCAGAATCCTGTGCTGCTACAAGAAAAGGGTTTGATGTTTTGGTGCTAGTATTCTTCTCTGTTACTATTTGGGCCTTCTTTTCTTCTATTTTTTTTTCATCGGTCTTATTTTCTGAAGTATGATCTCCTAACAAAGGAAAAATGTTTGTTGCAATGCTCTCCGTTGCTGCTGGGTTAAAAGGAGCACATGTGATATATGCTCCTGAACGATCCTTTATAGCTTCTGGTGTACTGGGGAAAGAAGTATCATCGTTACTACTCTCACTATCTTTTTCATGATTAGTTTGCTCAAGGCTATCTGCAAAACCTTTTTTATCCACTTTACTTTCCAACTTGCTGTCGATTTTACCTCCAGCAGCCAACACATCACTATCTTCCTTACTATCTTTCACTTCCCATACTCGCTCAAATGGTTTGAAGTCTGCATATTCCTCCCTCATAGGAGCTTCCACTGCAATTCTCTTTTCTTTAAAACTGTCTTTTGCTTTTTCTAAAGACATAACTTCATCCTCTTCTTTAACCAATTTAGTAAGAGCTATAGGCAACTCTTGTTGATTATGAAGGATGTTATTACTAACTAAATTCTCTTCTTCTTTATTTTTCACGATTATTTCTTCCCTAGGATTTGCTACTATTATGGCAGATTCTGCTTTTGGAGAGACACTGAATGATGATCCCATTTCTGAGTATTCTAATTCTGAAAACTCTGTTAAATCTCTATCTACAAGTAGAGTTTTTGCCTTCTCTGAGAACTCTTTAGAAGCTTCATTGACAGTTTCTTGAAGTGTTCCTTCGGTGGGTAATACTGTTGACAAATTACCAAGGTATTCATGTTCTTTAAAAGAAGCAGCTGAGAGAGGAGACAGAGAAGGAAGAGAAGCAGCAGTTTCAAGCAGGACAGATGGGAAATCCTCTTGACCAGCCGAAATAGTGTTACCTGGCTGCTCCTTCAAGTCCATAATATTTTCTGTGACCATGGACAGAAAGGAAAGTTAGAGAATGCCAGTGTTCTCAGAGTTAATGCAAGTTTTATGACAGATTCAAAATAGTGTTAGTAAAGACTTACTGTTTATTAAAATGAAATGTTAATAGCAATTAGTAAGTAACAATAGAGTAGACTTGAATCATTACTGAAAATATTAAGCTACTGTAAAGATAACATATGCATGGCTACAGAGGCAATTACATGCTATGCAAAGACAAATCAAGTCTGAGTAAACCTCAAATGTTATCAACTAAGATACTAAGAGCTAGTTTTAGAGAAGAGAAGAATATCTGCGAAAAGAGTTTGAGTGACAGTACAGGAAAGAAGGGGCACTGGGTAATTAAATGCCATAGACTGGTATTTATTTACAGGAAAGTCTTTCTGGCTATACTCAAACTATATTTGGAGAAAGGGAATTGTAAATATGTAAATGTAATTCAAGGGTCCAAGAATTCCTTATGTACTTCCAAGTGTTCATCGGATTTTGCTCATTTTTCCCTTGGGCATACCATATAAAATGCAAATTTCAACTTTTCCAGTAAACAGACATTCTTGGAACCATGCTAATTTTTAGTAAATCCAAGCTACTCTGCATAGAGTTAACACACTAAAAAGTTAAAGTTAGAATACAGAGAGGATAAAAGGCTGGCAGAAAAGAACTTGCCTGCAGAGGAGCGTATCACAGGCTCAGATGCAGCAGGAAGAGCAAAAAGGGTCTCATCTGAAAAACAAATAGAATATAACCTCAGCAGAAATAAAGACAGACTGAAAGGAGACTAAAGATCAGAGGAGCAAGCCAGGGTTCAGTTTGTAATAAGTTAACAAAAAACTTTACAGAGAAAGGGCCAAGATCAAAAGGAAGTCAGAAAAAGTAGTGCCATTAATTCAGGTTAAATCATCATATATATTATAAAGTTAATTAAATGTTATCCATAGAACCTATCATTTTTCAAGACGCAATACAACCTGTTTATGTTAAAGAAACTTATGAATCAAAGTGGCTTTAAAATACTGTTCTACTTAACGTATCACATCCAAAGCTTCCTCAGGTTTTCATATAGGTAAATTGTCTTGTTCTATTCAAGCCAAAACTAAAAAGCTGAATTTGAATAAAATTAACAACTACAAATGTTTAATCTTTTCTTACTGGCATATGTTTAATTTAGAAAAACACTTTTAAAGAATTACGCATTTTCTCTTACATTCTAAGTTGTTACAGTCATTGTACCCCGTTCTTTGAAGACATGAGTCCTGTGCCAACGTCCAAATGCCAGAGTCCAAAATACAAAAAAAAATAATAATAATTAACTGCCTTTAGGACGACACTATTATTGGTGTTATTTAAAATTAACCTAAGTGAGGGCTACTTGTTATTTGTATACACAACTAGTGAGAGACTAAGGCAATTCAATTCCAGAGCCCATTTCCTTAATCACTGTATGTTACAGAACTGAATGCTTGTATCTCCTCCAAAACTCATGTTAAAGCCCCAACCCGGAATGTAACAGTATCTGAAGATGGGGACTTTGGGAGGTGATTAGGGTTAAATGCAGTCAGGGTGGGGGGCCTGGGCCGAGGGGATTAGTGCCCTTATAGGAAGAGACACCAGAGAGCTTGCTGTGGTGCTCCCTGTCTCCGCAGGCACACATAAGAGGTCATGTGAGCACACAGTGAGATGGTGGTCACCTGTAAGTCAGGAGAAGAGGCCTCAGAAAGAAATCTACCTTGCCAGCACCTTGATCTTAGACTCACCAGCCTTCAGAACTGTGAAAAGTAAATTTCTGTTCAGCCACCCAGCCTATGGTATTTTGTTACAGCAGCCCAAGCTAACTAACACACTCTATTTGGTAATATTAACTTTGTACAATGTCATCTTGAACCTGCAGTTGGGAGACCCTAAGCTGTAGGGAAAAGAAAGAAAGATCAGACTGTTACTGTGTCCATGTAGAAACGGAAGACACAAGAAATTCCATTTTGACCTGCAGCTAAAAAATTGCTTTGCTTAAATGCTGTTAATTTGTAACTTTGCCCCAGCCACTTTGCCCCACCTTGTGCTCACAGAAACATGTGTTGTATGGAATCAACATTTAAGGGATCTAGGGCTGTGCAGGACATGCCTTGTTAACAAAATGTTTACAAGGAGCATGCTTGGCAAAAGTCATCACCCTTCTCTAGTCTCAATAAACCAGGGGCACAATGCACTGCGAAAAGCCACAGGGACCTCTGCCTTGGAAAACCGGGTATTGTCCAAGGGTTTTTCCCCATGTCAGAGTCTGAAATATGGCCTCATGGGATGAGAAAGACCTGACCGTCCCCCAGCCAGACACCCATAAAGGGTCTGTGCTGAGGTGGATTAAAGAGGAAAGCCTCTTGCAGTTGAGATAGAGGAAGGCCACTGTCTCCTGCCTGCCCCTGGGAACTGAATGTCTCAGTATAAAACCCGACTGTACATTTGTTCAATTCAGAGATAGGAGAAAAACTGCCCTCCAATGAGATGTTTGGGCGGAGAGAAACATAATCTGGCCTGCGTGCACATCCAGGCATAGTACCTCCCCTTGAATTTAATTATGACACAGATTCTTTTGCTCACATGTTTTCTTGCTGACCGTTTCCTTATTATCACCCTGCTCTCCTACCGCACTCCTCTTGCTGAGATAATGAAAATAATCAATAAAAACTGAGGGAACTCAGAGACCGGTGCTGGTGCAGGTCCTTGGTATGCTGAGTACCGGTCTCCTGGGCCCACTGTTGTTTCTCTATACTTTGTCTCTGTGTCTTATTTCTTTTCTCAGTCTCTCGTCCCACCTGACAAGATATACCCACAAGTGTAGAGGGGGAGGCCTCCTCTTCACTAAGCTAAAGATCTTCTACAGTTTACACTAGACAAAGGCCTCTACCATCAGACAATTTGAAAGAGCCTGAGAGATGACTGGAAGGTAATATTCCTTGAACAGAGAGAATCTAATAAATTTAGACAATTTCATCTGGATGGACAAGCTAGACAAGGCTGTCAAAATAGATAAAAGTCCAAGAGATGTAGCTAGCATGAATATGGACTTACCTTCCAAGCGTATTACCCTTAATGAATTAGGAGAGCTAATTTCACAAGGCCCTATATATTTTAGATAAATATATACTGGGCATGATGTCATATTTAAAGGATTCTTAGATGAGGGTGATGACAGGAAATTTATGATGTGTGTTTAAAAGGGTTTCCTACAACCCAGAGCAATAGGTAGGATGGGCTTTCCAGTCAAAGGAGTAACATAATGGCTTATAAGATTTTTAAATAAAGTGCATATATATGTGTACACATTTTTAAAAGATTACTTGCTATGTGATCTTAAATTACAGTTTCTCATTTGTAAAATGAAGGAAAGTTCCCTTCAGCTAAAATAATGAATTATTAGCTTGTATAAAACTGAAATTTGAGGGTCAAAGAGCAAAACCAAATAATTACACAGCTGCTCCATCTAAATAAGAGTTAGCCAATTCTTAACAAAATAGTTGCCTTTTGTATCTAGACAATATAGTTAAAAGCCATTAATTCAGAGGCTTGTCTATCTGGAAAGCAAATTAGAAACACGTATTATTTTTAAAATTAGTGGGAAAACAAACTACATCTAAATTTGTGCCATAATTTTGAAGTATTTTTTTTAATATACTGTACTCTTATTCTTACCTAGTACAATAATCTCTTATAATAAAAACTATATTCCTGGAATTTTTCTAAGTAAAAAAGTTTTCAAATTGGTATTTCAAAGATTCATTATGTTTAAGAAAAAAAGAAAAATCTTCATTTTGTAAAATGGGATTAAAACCAGAGTTAACCATAAAACAAGTACTACATTTCTAAAAGCTCTCAAAAAAAAAATCCAGAATAGTTATCTTCTGGGCCTTCAAGAATACAGCTCAGACTCCTAATAAGGCAATCATGGGTCATGAAATTGAATTGCCTAAGTTCAAATCACAAATCCATCACTTACAATGGTGTAACTCTTAGCCTTTCTGTGCCTCATGAAATCTGTAAAGTAAGGATAATAATAGTACCCACCTCAAAATGTTGTGAAGGAGGGAGAGGAAAAGAAAAAAGAAGTAACAACCTGCCCTAAGTCACAGAGTTAGGAGGCCAGAGGGTCAGAATTCAAAACATCTAATTCCCAAGTCTTTGTGCTTTGTCACTATTATTTTTTAGCTAGGCTTCCTCAAAGCATAAGATGTGCTTCATCTGAAGGATGTGTTTATGTACGAGTGCAACTGGTACAATCCTTCTCACTGTATCAGCCCCTCAAGTCTGTTCACCTCAAACAAGGTAAATTGTCACCCAGTAAATACCTTGTAATTAGCAGAAATATTGCATTGATCAATTGCTTCTATTCTACAATATAACAACATTTATGGAAACATTAAAGTGGGACAGGTACTGTGCTGAGCCAGCACATATGTTTCAGAAGTTCATTCAGTTCTCAAAACTACCCTGTAAGGTAGGTACTACTCTTACCCCGTTTCACATATGAGAAAACACAGGCATTTAAATCATATCTAATGATAATACTAGAAAAAACCTGCATTTTAAAACCACAGAACTTCTGCTTCTGGCTATGAGATTAATCACAACAGACTAATTCTTCCAATATAAGCAACTAAAAATATGGGCAAAATACTGGAAGCAACTATCTTGAGACACGGACAAGAGGCAGGACAGCAGTGTGAATTCTGAGGAAAGGGAAACCTGCGAGATGACTACCCTGCTTTCTGTCTGAAGGCACATTCTGGTCTACAGTACAGAGAGAAGCCCAAGAACACCGCAAACTCTTGCTAAGCTAAGGAGACTGAGGAGTTGTCTGGAATTTGTGGGACAGGGTAACATACAAAGAAAAGCTTCACAGAAAAGGAGCTCCAAAAATCTGGATAGGGGTTCCTCTTAAACCTCTGAGTGAATACTACGCTGCATGTGCACAGCACAAGACTCGGCAAAGCCTAGCCAAGAAACCTATGGTAGATCTGCAAGCTAACTGGATTATATCAAAGGTCAGAAAGTGCTGGAAGACCTGACCTAAAAATTCTGACCAGGCAGAGAGGAAAGATCTCACTAAACACCTCAAGCAGGACTACTCTAAGCCTAAAGGACACTCTAGACCAAGAGTCAGCAAACCATGGCTCATGAGCCCACACTGTATTGGAACACAGCCATGCCCATTCACTTCTGTACTGTCTATAGCTACTTTTGCACAATAAAAACAGAGATGAACAGTTTAGACAAAGGCTGTATGGCCCACAAGCCTAAAATATTTACTCTAACTGGCCCTGTAAGTCTGCAGACCCCCGCCTCCAGACCCACCCTCACTTTACAACCAAAACTTGAAAGGATCAAAATGATTTTCCAGCAAATTAACTGCCTGCCAGAACAAAGTTAAAACCACCGAATCCATGACATACAGTATCAAATAAAAAACTACTGGACATGTAAAGCAGCAAGAAAATATGACCATAAATAAGAAAGAATAGCAAACATAAACAAATAACGTAGATGTTGGATTTGCACTTTTTTTTTTTTTTTTTTTTTGAGGTGGAGTCTCATTCTGTCGCTCAGGCTGGAGTACAGTGGGGCTATCTTGGCTCACTGCAACCTCCACCTCCCAGGTTCAGGCAATTCTCCTGCCTCAGCCTCTGAGTAACTGGGATTACAGGTGTCCGCCATCACACCCAGCTAATTTTTGT